AAAATTGATTAATTTCCATCAACCTTTTAACTTTTCCTAAAATATTTTTACATTCTTCTAATTAGTACATTATTTAGTAAGAATAATAATGAAAATAACAACTTTAAAATGAAATAATATGTATATCTTTTAAGTTTTCATTAAAGAAAACAGGTATGTATTTCTCACTATACTCAAAAGTAAAAAGCCTCAGAAAAATTCCCTTACTTTCCTGAGGCCACAGAGCTACTAGCTGCAGAGCCACAATTCCAACCAAACCTCTCTGACTCCACTACCAGCATTCACAATTTCTCATGCTCCTTTGCGTTTTATTATTCCTTTACATCACAAGAAGGTACAACACATATGTCAAAGCAAAAATTCTCAAGTATCTAGTAAGCATTTTAAAATTTCCAGCAAATGCTTTTAAAATAGAATAAAAACTTAAATTTGAACAACAAAAATGAATTTTGAACTTTTAGCTCTATAAACCTTTTAAAATAGTTATGTAAATGTTTACATATTAAAATATAGTTACAATGGTTTACAAATTAGATTTTTTCCTATTAATGATAAAAGCTGGATGCAAATCACATTTCAAATAACTTTTCTCAAAATAATTTACACTTATTTCCACAATGCCTTGAGTTTTTTAATAACTTAATTCTTTTAAATATGTTATCACAATATTTGATACAATAGCCATGCAAGGTTAAAACTGGCATGTATTTTTGCTTCCCAACTCACATTTGGCCAATATGGTCATAAAATGCCCCTTTAAAATCACTTATATTTTATTTCAACCCAACAATTTGTTGATTTACGTTCTTGAAATCAGCTTTGAAGATTTCAGGTAAGGTAAAATCAATGATTTTTCTCCATCTTCATTATCTATCATGTAGTAGCTACAATGTTATGTAAGCCATTTTTGAAACTCTTTCTAAAATAAGGTGGTTTAGGCTGTTCTGTTTCTGACAGAAAGCCTGGACACTCATATTCAGATGTTTTTTCTGTTGTAGAGACAAAACGTTATTTGAAAACTGTCAAAATGCAGCAATTTTCTAGATCATTTAAAAAAATCCTAAAAAAACAGATTTTCTAGGTTACATAGAAATAGTACAATAGAGGACTCTCCTTTGTATTTCTGCAAAACTGGTAAATATCCTAAAGCCATTATTCAACAATACTAATTGCTTTTTTTGTTCAATAGGCTTATAATCCACTAGGATTAATTTGAAAGATTTTAGACTGGGAATATTTATATCTAAGTTTTAAAGTCAACTACGTGGCTTCCTTGGCCTAGATTTTCTGAGATATTATTACAATATTTTTTTGCAAGTCTCCATCACTTCACTCTGCTCCTTCACTATTGTTTTTATGTGGTTCCAGTGTGTTATTGTCTCACTACAAGTTATTACAAATTCATTTTTGGAGGTATGTGGGTATAAAAAAAACTATTACCAATGTCAGGGTGATATAAATCTGCATAATGAAAGTCTACTACAGGACGTTCATATCATTCTACAAGGAGGTGTGGAAAAAGATAAACTATTACCCAAAAAATGGTAACTTAAGATTCCTTCCTTCTGACTGTAATTTTTGTTCAAATTCTTTTAAAAAGTACTTTAGTAGGACAAAATGTTTCCAAAGAAACAGGAATCAGGAGCAGAGGCTAGAAGTGCTTAACGCATATGAGATGACACTGCATGAAATATTACGTAATCGCAGCAAAATTACAAAATGCTCTAAATAATAAAACTCTAAAATATTGTAACTGTAATGATCTAACAAATTCAAAAGTTTCTCACAAAAATGTTTTTGCAACATAAAAACATAAATACAGTATGTTTAAATTATTTTATTTGCTAATAATTTGTTTCCTTAAAATAGAGGGCAAATATTTAGAAAAACTTTCAAGCAGTGCAGCCAAAGTGGATCTCAATATACATGAGATGTTATATAATATTTTGTTTTGTTTTAATACAACAATTATTTTTCTGGAATATTAATAACAAAAGAATAAACTTACAGAACCAGACAATGCCCCTGAAGTAAAGTTGATCATAAATGTTGGCTCATATAAACCAGACTTCTCACATAACCACTTCTTTAAAACTTCATAGTTATACCAGTACATTGCTATAAAAACAGACATTGAAATGAACACACATTTAGAAACAAAATGTGGACTTTAATAAAAGAGTTACGAGGTTATATATTCAGGGGATAGACAAATTCTAACCTTGACACACCTTGTTTCTGCTTAGACACCCACTAGGGTGGGATTTCTTTTTTTAAAGCAAAATTCTCAGTAATATTCTAGCAGTCCTATAAACAAAAAAAA